AAATATATAAAATTAAAGGAAAAAAAATTATGTAAAATAAAATATAAATAAAATAAAGCAAAGCAACTCAAAATACAGAAGAAAAATATGAAATTGATTATGATAAAATAAAATTAAATTAAAAAAATAAAACAAAATAAACTTAAATGGAAAATTATAATCCAAATTCAAATAAAATAAAATTTAAATAAATTAAAATAAAATTAAATAAATGAAGAAAATAAAATCAAATAATATAAAATAAAATAAGATGGTATAATATAAAATAAAAAGAACTAAATTGAATAAGAAATATGTTGATGTGCATATACATACATATGTATTATTATATGTTTAATTTAATTACTTATGAAACTGTCTAAAAATCCCCACATCTTATGCTGCTTCAATCACTGCTCTCGACGCAACGTTGTCAATTTCTATGGGTTATGCTAAAATTAAAAAAAAAAAAAATAATTATGATATTACTTACACTGCTTTTGATTTGGACGAACACTTAAATCGAATTTTAAGTTCAAGACTCTAAAAAAAAAACTCGCATTCCCATAACAAAAATACCATAAAACAAACAGTTCAATTACACACTAAATAAGCAATGAAATGTGTCAATAAACAAGCAAACTTGTCAACTAAATCAAAACATTTCGAGTTTTCTCTTTTCAACAATTTTCTTTTAGCCTTGATTTTCACATGCTTTCATATGTATGTATTTTCCACCTTTTCGGCTTGACAACTCATTTAACGCACATTGCACCTGTTTACTGTTACTATTGCTCCTTAAGCAAGCATGCGCTCTCTCCAACTCCATAGTCTCTGCTGCCAGTACTGCTGCTGAAACAACGCTCTGTTATTATCTACCTGTTTTCTTAATAACGGCACCGACTGCACTAACATCGCAACATTTTCTTTTCCCCTGTTTTGGCCGAATTTCTTATACCGGCTACATATTTGGCATTTCAACCACCAAAACAAATTTAGAGCTCACTGAATTGTACTCATATTATCTGTATTACTCTCTCAGTTTGTATAGCAACTGAGCGGCGGATTGTGAAGCTTACAGTGACGTCGACGTATGCAGCGCTGTTGTTTAACATTTACGTTGATGCTTCGGTTGAACTGCTAGATTGGTTTTAGGCGATGCAACATGTTCGAGGGATGTTGTATAAAATGAAATAAAATAAAATAAAATAAAATTGAATTAACAAGAATTAATTAAAATTCAATTAAACAACGTAAAATAAATAAACAAATAAAAATAAATACAAAAAATAGTAAATAACAGAATAAAATAAAATAAAAAATTAAAAAATTAAAAACAAAATAAATGAATTAAAATAAGTAAAACATAAATGAAAAAAGATTAAATTAAAAAGAAATAAAGTAAAATTAAAATAATAAAAATTAAAAATTAAATGAAATAAAATTAAATAAATTCAATTCAACTAAAATAATATAAATTAAAATTAAAATTAAAATTAAATCAAATAATATATTATATAACCAAATATTTTTGGTTGATTTTGAGCAGGTTTAATATATAGAGTCGAAGCGATAAGTCTCTGCTCTCCATCATGGAGACATTTCAAATTTTAGACAGATAAAACATTAAATTTCAAAGGATAACACTTGAATTCCTCTACAGACACCTGAGACATTTGAATTCTCAAAATAAATCCAGTTTTACATACGTGTACTTAGATATGTTTGTTTGTATATCAATACTGTTCAACATACAATCACATCAGTACTCAACAAATATAAGAATTCTATTGGATTTGAGGACATTTTCTCCTTTATATTTGTCAATGACAAACGACAAACATGCACACACACACACACACACACACACAATCAAACACATGCTATTGCTCTTTGCTTGGATATCATTCAACAGATATCGGTATTGTATAGCAGTGGTGTACACTAATGTATGTACATGTATTTAGCATGCACATACGTGTATGGGTTTATTTACTTACTTTTTGTTGCAGTTCAATGACGTTTAATCGTTTGAAAATTGATTTGAGATCATTTGCAAAGTGGTCGTTAGCATTTCAAAGACCATTTGTCAAGCCACGCCATGGTTTGTATGAGTAATAGTATGTAGTAGTAGTTAAGTGTTTAAAATTAGTTGTGCACATTTTGCTAAATAAGGAAACAAGTTGAAATGCACGCTTGCTTAAGACCGCATTTAAATTATGTAATTAGTTTTTTTCTTTATTTTATTTTATTTTATTTTATTTTATTTTATTTTATTTTATTTTATTTTATTTTATTTTATTATATTTTATTATATTTTATTTTATTTTATTTTATTTTATTTTATTTTATTTTATTTTATTTTATTTTATTTTATTATATTTTATTATATTTTATTATATTTTATTTTATTTTATTTTATTTTATTTTATTTTATTTCATTTTATTTGAGTTTATGTTAATTATTTATATTTTGTTTTATTTTATCTTGTTAAATTATATTTAATTTTTTTATTTTGTTTTAATTTATTTTATTTTTTATATATTAAATTAAGTTAATTTAACTAATTTTTTATTTAATTTTCTGTAACTTACTTCTAATTTAATTTATTTTTTATTTATATTTCTTTTAAATTAATTTTAATTTTATTTTACTTCATTATATTTTATTTTTTAATTCTAATTTATTTTCTTAATTCTATTTTGTTTCATTTTATATATTATATTTTATTAAATTAATTTTATTTTATTTTATGTTATTTTATTCTAATTTTAATTTGTTATATTTTTTTTTAGTTTAATTTAATTTTATTTTTATTTTATTTTATTATGTTTTACTTTTTAATTCTATTTAAGTTTTTTAATAAAATTTTATTTCTTTTTAGTTTATATTATTATTTTTTTATTTTGATTTGAAAAAAAAAAAAAAACCGCCTACATATCTGTGTGTGTCATTTATTTGCTGATTTCTCATACTTTCAATTCTCGCATAATTCTAATTTTACAGTTTTGTGTGATGAGTTTTTAATTGATAATCTATTCGAGAAAAATTTGCCCAAAAGTTGCTTCTGATAATTGCCTCTGCCATTTTATTTGCAAAGCCCATGTGTATTGAAGGCATTTGCATACATACATATGTATGTTAATTATTACATATTGTGTATGTCCACAAAACCTTTTCTGGTTCTGTACAGGAAACGATGATTTGCAAACAATACAACTGTGCAAATACAAGAGTTTGAGGTTATGAATTTTTGATGAGAAAGTTTGATATAAACATTTTTGCTGTTTACTCTGTCCTGGAAAGGGGAAAAAGTTTTCGGAAAGCCTCATATTAAATTTGTAATCTGTATTAAATTAAGTTTTATATAACGTTTAGGTTCTTATATAGCAATCATCGGATTTGGGGAACAGTAGTGAGGTTGAGGTATAAGCCATCTTGTGGGAGTTTCTTGAGGCTTAGAAGGTATATTAGGCTTCATAATTAGTTACAAGTTAGTTCTACATCGCTGAATATCCGGCACTAAAAGCCGACCGCCCCCTTTTCACCATACTTACTTTGTCTATAAGCTCCTTTGGCCGAAGTCATCATTTGTGCCTGATTTGTGTATTTAGGCCGGAGCCTAGGGTATACCAACTTTCATCGCAGAATGGTGCTCTCCTCTCCCCTCTGCTCGAAGAAGCGGCCTCACCATATGCGATATTCATCATCGCCCATAAGTAGAAGACCATAAACCTTTCTCTTGAAGACTTCAGAAACCGAGGTTCTTACTAACATTAATTTTTATTTATTCTTGCTGCTGTCGTCGTGATCTCTAGCTTATACCCCAAAATGACTTTTTGTTCATATTTAGAGTGTGACGGTCCTTGTCGGGATAGAAATGCGGTTTGTTTGGGCAAAAAGACCCGACAGAGGTAGGCAATATAGAATTTCAGTTGCCTATTACGACATGGAGGTAAATTCTTGAACGTCCGACCTGATCATTTCGGTAATTATGCTTCGTGTTGCCAGTTGCAAGAACTGATCTAATCGACAAGCTCTCGAACACAAAATTTACCCAGACCTAAAAGGCCAATGCTTTAATCACATAATTCTATTCTTGCCATTCTTAGGTAGGATCTGCTTCAGTATCCTGCAGTTAGACATAGATTTTCATCTGTTCTGAGATATTTCTTTAAATTTTATGTAAATGGTCCTGCCGATCATTCCTAGCAGCGATGTTATGAAGTCTGCCACGGATTTGTCCTCTTTTTTTGTTGCCGAAAATGTTCCTGTAGGCGGTAACCCGGATTATGCATAAAACGAGTTGATCTATCTGTCAGCGACACCAAAGCCTTTCTACATTTGTTGACGACGCTGGAATTAATCGTTAGACGGAACGAGGCTAGCAATTCTGCGTGGCTGCCGGGGTATATGATTCCACTCTGAGTCCACCCTTCGTTACTCGATAATGCTCTATAAACCTTCCCTTGTCTAGGATTTGCGCTTGCAAGATGATAGCCGAATTAGGTAGTCGGATAGTGAGATAGAGAGGGAGGGGAGAGAGAAAGAGAGAGAGAGAGAGAGAGAGAGAGAAAGAGAGAGATAGAGAGAGAGAGATAGAGAGAGAGAGAGAGAGAGATAGAGAGAGAGAAAGAGGATAGAGAGGGAGAGGGAGAGAGAGAGGGAGAGAGAGAGAGAGGATGGAGAGAGAGACAGATGTCAAAAATTCTATAAGTATACTTCCGGATTTAATTCGCATACCCTTTTGGACCCATCGATATAGATTAAGATTCGATTCGAAAGCTTTTATCTCATGTCAGAAATACGACCGACTTCCAGCAGTGACACTTCGTGGAAGAAGTTCCGCTCTACCAGAAACTTCAATCCGTTCTGCCTGACTTTGAAGCTATCCCTTCAACTTACGATAGAACGATCCATGAAACTAAACAATTTCTTTGACTGATAAGAAAAATTATTTGTGAACCCCTTTGGGAAAAACGATCTTTATTCAGTATTTTCCCAAATCGACACAGTAAATTTCGGAAACAAAAAATAAATTCTCGTAATCATTTCCATCAGAGCATCGCGGCCTCCTTCAGCGAGTAGTTTCGCTGTTCGGTGATTTTGAATTGCAGCAAAACGACCAAATATGTAGCCATGAAGGAAACATTCTGAAAGAAAAGAGCAAGAGAATGAGCGTAAGTTCGTTTCTTATGCTCAGAGAATTGTTCAAATATTTTTTCAAAAACTCCCTCTACCGATGTTATCAACTCTCTATTGATGTTCGCATAGCCATCCAAATTCATGATCGGCGGATTCTTCGTGATTGCCATGAGAAACATTTCCACTTCCTTCTGCGTGGCACTGTCCACGGCGGTCAGGTCGACGTTTAACAATTTCGTTTGGAAATCCAAACCGACACTTTGCGTGGCATAATGTGCCTCATTACAAATGATATAGAGTAGACTCATGCAATAGAAAACGATAACGAAGAGACCAACTTCCTTATATGTGGCGCCATGATCCATAATCTCGCTCAGCGAACCATATGTAGCGATGATGGTTGTGAAAAAAACGACGAGGCAATACATGCCGTACATGTTGGAGTAGGCGCGGCCTAGGGAGAAGAGAAAGAGATGGAAATAAATAAAGTAGAAAAAAGACAAAGTTATAAAAGAGAGAGAAAGAGGAAAAGCGAGTTGAGGAAAGAAAAATATAGAACGTAGAAGAAAGAAGGAGACATGAGAAGCGCGAGAAGTTAACGAAATTAAAGAGAGGGCAATGTAGAACGAGAAATATTATATATAAAGAGAGTAAGAGAAAGAGAGGAGGCGTAAGAAAGATATGTTGAGGGAAAGAGAGGAAAATAATTAGAGTTAAAAGTAGAGAGAGTGACACAAAGAGAGAGAAATTGAATCGGTTTTATATCTAGGAAAATCCTGAAATCCGCAGATTTAAAAGGAATTACTGAAAGATATAACAGAAAGAGAATTGGAGCGATAGGAACTCATAGATGCTGAGTTACCAAACTTAACTTAGGCAAAGACTTTAACTCTAAAGGAGACAGGATATTTCTTATAATTATAAAACTGGGAGTTCAACGATAACTGGGAGAAAGACTTGCACTCATAAGAATAGAAATGTCGACCACAAATCCACATGTAACGACCTGAGCTGAGTACGGAGTTCGGTGAGTGGCTAGATGGCCGAGTCTGTGGTTCCTACTACCATGCCTATGGCTACCTGATAGACCTCTGTCCCAGTCAACATGATCTTGGCTCTCACAATCGTCTGCCTATCAAAGTACTGCTTTAGCCATAGGAATCTTTAACCGTTTCGGCAAAAGGCCAGAGTTCGGTGTAGGCCGAAGTATATCAGTCCTTTTACGTAAAGTAGGAGAATCTACATTAAAACGGTTATATTGCTGTCGACACTTGTTAGCACGTCATACTAAGATCCGACAGGCTGTAAGACCGCTTCTTGATGTGATTCGGAACCAGAAAACACAACTAGTCAATTTGAATTCTTTTAGGGGAGACTGGTTTTATGGAAATGAATATCGTGAAAGGAACCAGCAAACTCTTGATGATACGACGGTTATGTGTTTGATAGTTCGTAAATATTTGCTCTCGAAGTTGTGTACTTTTCACGATACAAAAACTCGCCTACGAGGCACTCACGTTGATTGAAATGAGATTCTAGCTTTGAACTAGGTGGAGGACTCTTCTCTTACCTAATTGCTGCATCATGTGACTCAGATCCACCCACAGATGTCTGTACTCAGTGAGCTTCTTTGCTGGCTTATCACTCATCAAAGTCAGCTCCAGCGAGGCGGAAAGTGCACGACTGGCGGTGCCAAAAGCGGTGCAGTTTATGTACCTAACGAAGAAAGACATAAAAAATACTCTACCTTAGACCACCAACAGTTCCCCAAAAAGCTCACCACAAACTGCAGAACCCGTTCAACATTGCAATAATCGGATAGTAGGCGAAAGTGTACCATAATTTGAAATCCGGCTGCAGATAATATTGCGACAAATTGATGGCAATACTCACGCCCCACGAGAAGAAACACAAACCCCAAGTGAGCGGATAGAGATTGGGGAAAACAATCGGCGCACCGGTTACTTTCAGAAATTTCAATTGATAATTCGTCCACATATTCTTGAAGATTGCCACCTGCGGACCGTGACGCCAACTCGCCACCGGCAGCAGAAAATTCGTAAACAACAAACTAATGAAAATCACATTGTAAATAGCCTCATCGAAGCGTCGATCGGTGTCGTTGAGAAAATTATTCACACGTTCACGCAACACCAATACCACCACCGTCGTTTGGACGGTGAAGACGAATATAGCCCAAAAGACTTGCTTCGAGGTCCACGAATAACCCGTGCGTGCCAAGCCATACTTCTGCGGGTTACGATGTATTGGCATAACGCCCATAATCTGAAAAAGCACCAGCAGACTCTTGGTGGTGTGATAGAAGGAGTCGTGTTTGTCCAACAACACTGGATCGTCGATATCCTCGAATTTGCGCACAAAGAGATCGGTGCTGAGCGTATTGTTCTCGGCGAGTATCTCCAGTTTTTCACGATACAGCAGCTCATCTTCGAGGAACTCACGTTGATTGGGATTTAGTACGGGTGTGATTTTCATGGGCGGAGACTCGCCTTTGCGTGTCGCTATGGCCCAGTAGGCCATGATGTTGGGAGTGAGCGAGGTCTATGGAAATGAACGAACGAATTTAGTATTAAAAGCAGGTGGAAATTATGTATTTTGTTTTCTTTAATTAATTTTTCTTTTAATTATTTCAAATATCTTTTTGAATTTTTTTTAGTTCACTTCGAGCTCAAAAGTCTGCCGCACGTAATCCGCCAACTTAGTGTGGTTGGGAAACTCTCTTTAACCTCTTTTATACCCATTTACTGATACTTCTTATTATTGTTGTTGTACTAGACAAACATTAAGTAACTTAAATATGCAGACAAACAAATAAAAGTGAAGGCAAAAGTTTTCTCTGTTCGAAACTTGTGTGCTGCCGTGCGAACTAAAAATTCATTATCCCCTGTTTAGGTTGCAAGATTAGCCTACTGAGTTTGCCCAAGCTTGTTTAACTAAAAGGTGATTAAATGAGAGTGCAAATGGTGTGCTTGCTTGGTATATAGTGCGAGCTCTAGAGCTGACCGGATGTTTACTCGTTGCACACCTTAGAAGCCCTGCATTCCGCTTGCGTCACAGTAAAAAAAGGGAGAGCTCTGAAGAGTGAAGAGAGAGAGTTGAAGGCTTTCAGGAGGGAAGCGCTTAACTACACAAACTTCATTCAACACCATAGTCAAGAAGCACTGAGCAGGAAAGACGGCGCACCGAGAGGCTTTAAACGCCATTCACCGGGCGTCCGTCAACTTCTTCTTGAACACTCTTCCAGTGAAAAGTGATCTCTTAATCCAAGCATCATCTATTTCTACTTGTCCAGGCTACACCCTTGTACGTCCTACATGCAATGAAATGTCGCACGACCTTAAACATATTTTTGCATGCAACTTAAAAATCATCGAAACTCTTCCTCATCGAACCTCAAAACCTACTCATCGAACATACGTACCAGAGTTAAAGGACCATACCTGCAGAAGCAACTCGTTTTGGGGTTCTGCATGCTCTAATTCGTCATGGGGTGGGCAAAAACAGTGGCGTGATATATCAGCACTAAGTTAATAGATGATCCTGGGAATTAGATTCGCTTTCTTCCAAAGCAAATCATTCACAAACTCAGTCATCTTTCAAGTAGTCTCTGTAGTGGAAGCCATCAAATTATTCTTTATCCTCCTTTGTCTCGTCTATCGCATGCCTTGGTTGAGCGTGATGTGAGACTTAATTTTTGTGTTGACCTCAGTTAACAGCTCAAAACTGATTTTCCTGTTAGGGAACAAAAAAATCCGAATCTTAGAATTGAAAATTTTCGTTCTAAGCTTTTTCTTCTTTTGTTTCGCGTTTGACGAATATATGAAGAGTTGGCGAGTATCCATAAGCTCAGAAAACAGTCTCTTTAGATTTTTCTTTCAAAATTTTTCTCTATCGAGCCGTTTGCAGTCAAACCTCTAGTAAGTGAGCATAGCCAGATGTCGTAAGTGGACCCCTAAGCTGAATATATTGAAAAGTCTTTACTGAAACTTCAATTTATTTCGTCTCGCAACGGACTAGACTAGACACGAACGTACAAGTTTTTGTAAAATTTTTGCTGTGAGCTCACCTCAGTTCAAAGATTTATTTTCCGAGTTATATTCTAGTAGAGTTCTCATTATTCTTATACCATCCAGAGGAGACAACTAGTGGAGGGAAAATATATTAATGGCTGACTAGAAGCTTAAACAAAAATCCGCAAGGGAGAGAGAGAGGTTGCATTAGTGACAGTTCAGTTCTTATTTACTACTTGCAATTATAGACTGTTTTTGCGGTAAGCTGCATAACTAGTAGAACATACACGATTTAAGCCTAAAGATTCCAGCTTTTTCTGGTTGGTTGGTTGGTTGGATGAAAGGGCAGGATGTAGAGAGGAAGAAGAATGAAGAGAGAGAGAGGCCGTAAATGCGCTTTAGTTCAATCACAGTAGTTATAGGCTCTCATGTGGGGTTTTCCGGAACTTCAAATATCCGCAGCGCAAACAGCCTATTTGATTTGATTGGCGGTATGGAGGAGAAGATTGAGAACCGGAAATATTATAGAGAGAGAGAGACCCTAATTCCATTTTAGTTCAGTCCTTGCAAGTACAGGCTCTCAGGCTGATTTTTTTTACTAAACATGAGACTCAGATTTGTTTTTCCAGAACTTCAAATACCTACAGCTCAAACAACGGTACCAGATTCTTTGATTTGATTGGTAGTATGAAAGAGAAGATTGAGAACCGGAAATAGAATGAAGAGAGAGATACCCTAATCCCATTTTAGTGTAGTCCTTTGTATTACAGACTCACAAACTGTTTTTTTTTCTGCAAATTTTTCGAACTTCAAGCAATGGAAAATCTTATTCGATTTGAGACTCAAATCTACAGCATTTTTGCGGTTACAGTTGGTTGGCTAAAAGGGCAGATTGAAGACAGGAAGAAGAATAATTTATATTAGTAAAACTTAGGAGAGGTATAAAATGGCATTAAAATATCAAAACCAAGCAAATACTCGCATGGAGTAATATAAATACAATAAGAGATCAGAGAGAGCATACAAGTATGAGAGTGAAAGAGAGAAAGAGAGGAAGACACAACTAATCTTTGATTTGTATTAACAACTAAAAGCGGTAAAGTAAGAAAGAGAAAAGAGTTCAATTTAATAATCGTTCTTCTCCTTTGGTCTATTATGAACTCTCTTATATTGTATATTCATTTGCTCTCATCTCTTGCACCAGCTCCTCATTGCGCTCCAAAAGTTTGAACTGCTGAAAGGCTATCAATATTTTTTGCTCGTGGTTAAGCACGTTGAGCACATGTTTAGCCACATACCGTTAGCTTTGAATGAAATCTCCTGTGGCATGCAACACAGAAATGAAATGTTGTTGGTTTTGTACATAAGGAGTGGTACTTAAAATGCAACACAAATTTAAATCAAGTCACTCTAATGTACTATTTCACTTATGTAGATATACATATGTGCATATGGAAATAAATATATATATATATATGTAAATGCATTTGTATATATATATTTTTGGTTTTATTTGTTCAGCTCAGCTGTGGCATGCTTACTAGAGCTCAAAATATTACTGTAAAGTTAATAATGCAACGTCCTGACGTACGAATATGTATTGTACATACACAGACACACACATGTATAAGGTACAAAACGAAGACGAAGAAGATGAGGAGTACGAGGAAGATGAAAAGGAGGAGGAGGAGGACATATCGCACACATGCATGACAGGTGGCATTATTAATTAGATATCCTTGCGCTTGTTGCATGTAATAAAGGGTGTTTCTTCTAGTTAAACGGTTTTCAATGAGATAACATCTTTTTCGAAGTTGGTCCTTTTGGGCAGCTGTTACTTGATTTATATATACCCAGTTTAGCTTGTCCTTCCATAATAAACCGATTTACTCAGTTCTTTGGGGACCAATAGACCGAAGATCGTATTGCATTTCATCTACGCAATCAACGCCGGAATAACGTTCGGTACGGTTCGAGCGCTGGTGGACATAATCACCATGCAGAGTAGGTAAATCGAGCAACCATGGATCGATTTCGCACCACTTTCACTCTTGTGGATAATGGGCATTTCCAGACACCTACAGAGCATCGAAGATAGCCCGACTGAGTCCATGCGCCATGGCGCTCAATAATTGGAGCTGTGCCCATTCACTTTATGACACTTTATAAGGAAGAAACTTGGATTTTAACAGGGCATTTCGGTTCAGCGCTGAAGTTATTTATGGTTGATTGTGTACAATATCAAATAAAATTGTCGCATTTGGAGTGATAAGAATCCACAAACCATGGTTTAGGCGTCCGTGTATACCCAAAAACTCACTGTTTGGTGGGCTCTAACGGCAGAGAGAATCAATGGTCTATCCTTTCTACAAAAATGAAGTCGGCCATAATGTTACTGTCAATGGGGAATGCCAAGATTATTGACTTTTCGTGAGTGCAATGGAGGAATCGGTTGATGTGGACTACCCTTGGTGTCAACTTATAGTAGGAAACTTTTGGTGCGGGCATCAATTCGCATCATGAATCTGGCTTGATCATGCAATTGAACACCGCTGGACTATTTTTTGTGGGCTTATATAAAGTCACTTGTCTACGCAGGTAAGTCTGAGGCGCTTGACGTCTTGGAAGAGAATATTCGGCGCCAAAACCTGTAAAAGTGGTATAAAATTGGGCCTCTCGGTTGGACTTTAAACGAATCAGCCGTAGCGGTCACTTGTCCGAAATTAATTTTAAGATATATTGGCAAACCCTTGTCTGTATAATAGAGCTGAATTCTTGGTCAAAACTTGAAAACCACATGTCTAGAAAAACACCCTTTTTTCTATCATTTAGGGAAACGAATTAGAGGGCTAGATGCAAAGAAGACTGGTAAATTTCGAAATGGGAAAATGCAATGGAGTAAGCCAAAGCGCTGGAGAAAATTTCTAGTGTGGAGCGGGTAAATGTCTCTGACAGAAGATGAGTTTGAAGAAAATCTAGCTTTGGATATCAGCTTGCAACGTTTGCGGTTTTCCCTATTTTGTGTGGCATACTCGTGTTGGCTTGATGAGCATATGGTTGCGAGTGCACAAAAGTTTGCATGGAAAAGCTGTACGAGCCAACAAGTTGTTGCCAACAGCTTGGTAGTTGGGTTTGAAATTTAGGCAATGCATTAGAGTAATGAAATTAATTTTAATATATAATAAATCATTTATTAAAGCCATAAAAATATCTTATACACGCATACGCACTTTACTTAATTTGACAAAACTTACAGAAATTAATTGCATTACTTTGAGGTCTTAAGGGAATTGTGGTGAAATAATTATACTAAAATCTATTGGAGGTCATATATTCGTACTCGTTTGTAAATAATTAATAAGCCTTTTTGCCTTTAATATTTCCTCTCTTTGGTGTGTAACTCAGCTAAACTATTTATGAATACGCCTAGATGTACGCGTGCTCTTTGTTGTAAACTTATTTTGATAAAACGTTGCCTATCTCTAGGCGTTTTGATAAATGGTTTATCGAAGTTTCACACCAATGTGCAAAAAACAATCAACGTTTAAATAGAAAAAAATTAAATATGTCAATATTTACAAAGAATTACTCTATCTTTACACCATTTACACGCTTATAGCTGAGTCCGTAATAGCAAGCAAGTCGTGTTTT